CGTTCAGCCCTCGGCCCCTCAGTGCCTGAATGATTGAAAAGCACGCCGTCAGTGCTAGTCACTGCTAGCAGTGTAAGCTTGGTGTAAACGAGTTTTTTCATGTGCCTTCGTGTTTTTGTTGAGGACTGAAAAGGCTAACTGTTACGTTAACAAAGAGGCTCTCAAGAGACTTTAAATCGTATAGCAAAGCATAGCTTTTGTATCTTAAACAGCTGGTTTTTGTCCACAATTTAGGAGGCAGTAGAGAATGTCTTTTCGTGGAAGAGGAGGTGGAGGAGGAAGAGGAGGCGGCTTCAATCGTGGAGGAGGTGGTGGTGACAGAGGTGGCTTTAATCGTGGTGGACGAGGTGGCTTTGGACGGGGAGGTGGACGAGGAGGCTTCAACAGAGGCGGGTATGACCAGGGGGCTCCCGAAAGGGGTTTGGACGGGGAGGTGGACGAGGAGGCTTCAACAGAGGCGGATATGACCAGGGGCCTCCAGAAAGCGTAGTTTGTAAGTTATATTAAAAGATTGCGTTTCTTTACTTTAGAATGACTGCTTCAGATCTTTAGCTTGTTTATTCTTTATTTCAGTATTGGGAGAGTTCATGCATCCATGTGAAGATGACATTGTTTGTAAATGTAAAACAGAAGAAAACAAGGTGCCTTATTTCAATGCCCCCGTGTACCTGGATAATAAGGAACAGATTGGCAAAGTGGATGAAATCTTCGGACAGCTGAGGGATTTTGTATCCTTCAAAAAAATGTGTGATGTACAGTATTTGTTTTTAAAAGGCTAATTGGTTATTAAATGGAATTTCTTTAGCTTTTAAAATAGTTCAAGGCTTGGCTCCCAGCTAGATGTGAACAGTCACAAGTCTAGCTGCAACTGTTCATGTCAATAGGTGCCTCATGCACATTAAGTGCCTATCATAAAGCTTTTTCAGTATGACCTTATGTCAGTACCAGTACTGGCAGATGTCTCTTGGATCCATTGTGGTTCAGGATGTTTCTGCGTCCTACCTGGCAGCAACTTTTCTGCTGTATGATACTCACCTCTACAGAGTTGGATCAAGGGATTGGGGTTGTTTTTGTGCATTCAGGGACCTTGTTCATGCTTCAGCTTATTACTTAATTACAAAGGTGAGTTTGTGCTAGGATGTCCTATTGCTCTTTGTCCAGCTTCTTACTTAAACTGCCAGTAAAGGTGGGCTTGTGCTGGGACATCCTCTTGCAAAGCAAGCTTGTTGGTACAGAGGCACTGGGTCTATCTTGTTGTCATTGCTAGACTGACAGAATTAATGACAAAAGCGGGACAATGGGGCATAGCCCTGTAACATGTCAGTAAGGCTTAGCCTTTGTTGATTGGTTTTCAGTAACTAGGTGCATGCATTTTCCTCTCCCACAGTAAGTGAGAAGTAAAATGTACAGGTTTAAATCACTCTCGCTCTCTGAATGCATTAACTTGCAGTTTACTTTTTGTATCAAAATTATTTGGATTTCAGAGACTTGTTTTCTTTCTACAACAACATATTAAGAAAATACATTACTTGATTTTGCAGTAACTCCTTGCTTCTCCATTTAATCTTGAGTTTTAATTAAGCAGAGTTGGCCAACAGCTCTTTTGATCTTAGGAACCGCACACCAAAGTCTTTGGATGCTGGAGTGCCAAAGGGCTTCATACAAGACTGCACATGGGCTTACAGAGTGTCTGTCACCTCACTGGGATGAGGCTGGGCATGTAATTGCTCCAGCAGTCCCTGCTGGCTCATATCTTTCCACAGCCTGGCAGTTGTACCACTCAGCAGCAGTCCTAGCAGAGTCCCTACAGCATGAGCCTTGAGGTCACCCTGGGTTGTCGCTTGCTATACAAATGTGTTTCTTTACAATTTGGTTTTTATGTTCTTTCCACTGGTGTGTTCTTCCTTATGCCTTAATCATGGAAGATAAAAATGGTTTTACCTGAAAATACTGTATTTGTAACTGTGAAAAAGTTCTCAGAGAAATTGCACATGTTTTCTCCTTAATTGTAATTTTTCATTTGCAGTGGTGACATTTAGCTTCATTTATAAAATACTAATTTAGAAAATGTCTATGCCAATCAAAGTAACAATTTCATATGTTTTTTTTCCTGTTACGTTCCTTAAAGAAACAAACAGTATTTTTCAGTGAAACTGTCTGAGAACATGAAAGCCTCTTCATTTAAAAAAATGCAAAAGGTTAGCCAGTCTTGAAACTTTTAACAACTAGTTGTCCTTTGGAAACATAATTATTAATTTCCTCTTCCTTTTCACTTTTCTATCTGCCATGTTCTTCCTCCTCCCTGCCCTTCAAAAACCCAGAGATGTAACAAATGAAACTCATGCAAATATCATCAAATTTTAATAACTTTATAACACTGTGATTAATTTCTTGCGCTCTTTCTTTATTTGGCTGTTTGCAGAGGAAAAATTGACATAAAAAGTGAAGACCAAATTGTGGATATTTGTAAAGGGAGATATTACTGTGCTTTTTAGTCTTGGTATTTTCAAAGTCTAATGGAACTGTCTTCCTACAGTTTTACATTGATCCAGCAAAGCTCCTACCCCTTCAGAGATTTTTGCCAAGGCCACCTGGAGAAAAAGGTGCTCCCAGAGGAGGTGGTAGAGGGGGACGTGGGGGACGTGGAGGAGGAAGGGGTGGTGGCAGAGGTAAGATCCCAAGAATGGAAGCTGCAGAATGTTGGGGGTTTTTGGTGTGGGATCAGTTGTTTGGGTTTCTCTTGTTTTGGTTGCTTTTTTGGGGGGGTTGGGGGTAAAGCTGCAGTTGAGTATTTGAACATCAACAGTAGTATTGCAAAGAAAAGTGTTATGCATGTTCCTGTTTGACTCAATGGAAGAGACAGTGATACCCTTCTAGTGGCAAGACCTAGGCTTCTGTAACTAAATAACAGCTCCAAAGCATAGGGAAGAGAGTTATGCTGGTATGTAACAAAGATAGAAAGCGTGCCTGCTAAACAAACTTATGGTTAAAGGCTGTAGATAATAAACACTCAAAACTGTCAGTGAAATCTGTATTTTTAGTATGTTCTAGTTTGGACAAATACTTGAAATGCATTTTGAGAGAGAGGTGAGTGACCTGGTAGATTTCATTCTTCCTTGCTTTTTGGAGATTATTTGCAATGTACTCCTCAGTTAAACCTGAAGTTAATTTTTACTTACATCACAGTGTCCTGCATCTTCTCTCTACCCTGCCCCTTTGCAGCAAGGCACAAGTGTCTCAAATTTTTTTTTTATTTGTTTATTTTAATATTCTGTTAAGTTTTAGTTAATGAATAGTTGTGATAAATTTTTTTCTGTCATGAAAGAAAAGTTTTGTTAGTGTCTTTGAGTATTTTTGACATGGTATACCAGATACTAAACAATAGCTAAAATGCTGCAGATGGTCCCTAGGAGAGACAAAGTACCAGTAATTGACCTGGTAACTGTCCAGCAATTGACGGTTTCTTTTCTTGTTGTTGTGCTTTTGCTTTCAGAAGATGTGAATGAAATAAGTTGTTATGCCTAACGAAGAATTTATATGCTCCTCAAAGTATAATTTCTTTCCTATGTCTAGGAGGATTTGGAGGAGGAAGAGGTGGAGGAAGAGGAGGAGGAGGGTTCAGAGGAGGAAGAGGTGGAGGAGGAGGAAGAGGTGGAGGAGGAGGAGGATTCAGAGGAGGAAGAGGTGGTGGAGGAGGCTTTCGGGGTGAGTGTGTGGTTTTTACATTGCAGTAATAAGAATGGCTCCTGATTTCTGAAGCTTTTAAATATTAAACAGGGTGTTGTATTTTTAATCTCTTAGAGATGTTTATAGTTTTATTTAAAAAGTTTATATGCATTACAGTAGCTAGCTTAAACTGAAGCACAGTATTTGCATTTTTGGTGTGTGCATAAGATCATGTTAGTTTTTTGCAGAACAGATAATGTTCTATTATTTTAGTCTGTCAATGCATTTAATGTTATGTGTATAATTTATTTGCTTTAAATGCGCCTAAGATGTGAATTGTTTGTTCTGTTTTTCTTTCCTTTTAAAATAGGAAGAGGATATTAAACAAGGAGCCACGAATATCTCCTCACTGTTTTAGCAGGTCATCTGCATAAGTGAAGAACAAGGAGAAAACTTTCTAAAGGACCCTGAAAAAGTTCTTTTTATGAAGAACTTAAAGCTGTAAAATAACATTATTTTTACATTTAATGACTGTTGATAAACACATGAGGAGAGCACAGCTCCAGGCAAAGAACTGAAGACTCTTCAGAACATTCTTGAACTAAGCCAGGATTCAATGTTATCCTTGAACTGTTTGTTTCTGAGGAGTAATGTAGTCAATGCTTGACTTCATGTTGGAGTTTGGAGTAAGCAATCAGTTGAAATGTTTTTTAAAAACACCCTACAGGTTCACTAGTGCACATTCATCAGTATGAACCTGTAACCTGTGTGTGACTGATCCCTAGTTCTCATCTTCTTTTTTTATATTGAATCTTTTGGGTTGCTCTAAAATGGACATACCATTTAAGCAACCTTTGTTGAACCCTTTTTTTACAAACTAAACTTCAAAATTTTGTGTTGTTAAAATTTGTTTATACATAATTATGTGTAAAAGGAAAGGAAGAAGTAAAGGATATTTTGTCAGTTTTTCTGTGTAAATGTCAATGAAAGCCAAACACATTAAGCCATCTTCTTGGAAGTTGGTGTCTAATGAATAAGACAAGGTTAATACTATTAAGTCACCTAATTGTATCTGATTGCATTGATATTAAAATTGCTGAGTCTATTTAACTGCTCCCACCTCCACCTAAGCCTGTTTCTCCTAAGGTTTTGATGTCCTGGCACTGCACCTTTGTGGTGCTCTGAGCTTGCACAGGGCTAAGATGAGATAGCTCATCGTAGGGCTCTTCTGCACCCAGTGATTTTGGTTAAGCATTGCTTAAAAAAAGGCATAAAAAAATCTGCACGAGTCTTTGGTCTGTTTAATTGGATGTATTATGAGAATTGCTGAAAAGCTAGTAAGTGTCTCTTAATGATGGAGAAGGAGGTTCTCTGCTCTTAACTTTGGGAATAAAACAAGAACAAAAGTAGAATCTCACTGGATTTTATACAGAGGCAGGAGTCTGTTCACTCTCTCATACCAAGCACTTTTAAAAAGGGATCTGTAGAATAATCTACAGGAAAGTATTTTGAACATCTTGTTCAATGTGGAAAGCAGTAAATTTCAGAATTCATTGTACTTTTATAGTTTTTAATTAATGAATGAACTAACAGGCAAATGAGTTGTATCAGCCTTCTGCTTAACAAGAAGAAATAGGTAATTTGTCAGCACCAGGACTGGACAGTTACTGGTCATTTTAACAAATATGACTGTTACTTTGAATAGTCTCTGGAACAAAACTTAAAGTGAGGTAGCAAAGCAAATGTTCAGGAATTAAATTAAGTCTGAACAGCTGCTTCATAGGGTAATAGATAAAAAAGTTCTTCAGCTTAAAAAACCCCTGGAACACTTAGATTTCTGCTAGATCCATTTTTGTGAGATGAAACTGAGTCTGCTCTTCAACCACAGCACAATCAGGAATTGAGGGATACTGGTTACATTTCTGGTGTTGCTATACACTTAACTTCAACCAGGTCAGTTTAAATTGAGACCTCTGGTAATGTTTAGACTTCTGCTGCTGTGTGTTGCTAGGCCTAAGTTACTTGGACTCTGACAAGGTACTGTAGACAAAATCCTGTGCAAGTTGCATCTCTTGATGAACAATACCAACGTGCAGAGAAGCTGGAATTGTCACTACTTTTGTAATATTTGTACTTGCATCCTGTGCTGCGCTGTGTTTATTCACTGATGCTTTAGTAGCTAGTTGGGGGTAGCTGAAGCTGAATTAGATCTTTCCTTATTCTTCTGACTGTGTAGGACTAACATAACACAGTCCTCACTCCTACACCCAAATTCATGTTCTGCTTTGCTATTCTCACTGCATGCTTTAGGGACATGCTTTTCCCCAGGGTATCAGAAGATGACTGCCATCACCTTTAGATTGCATTGTGTGTGACAGCTGATATTTCAATTGCACGAAGAACCATCTTTCAGCCTAGGACAAGAAGCATATGCCATGAATCCCACAGCAGATGGAGCAGCCTGAAGCTGTTGCAAGGCCAAAGCAAAGACTTCTACATCTGTGTGCAGAGGGGTTAAAGAACAATATTCATTGCTGCTGCAGAGGGAGGATCAGACTCGATTACGGGGAACTTGGTTGCAGTCCAAGCTGAGAAATGTATGAGGAGCATTATGGCATGCCCTACGCATACAAACAACGTTGGATGGAATTAACACAGACATCCCGAGGAAGTTTATAATCTCAGATCTTTGTGGAGGTTGTAAGATGTTCAGATGCTAACGGAAGAGTGTCCATAGTGATAGGGTGTGAAATGAGCTCACCCACAAGGGAGAAGGATCATGTTTGGTTATGGCAAGGCCCATCTAGTCTGTGGTCCCTGTTCTGCCTTGTTTTCTATGTGCCATGGCATGACCCTGCCCTCCTAATGCAAGTAGCTGCTAACCGTAACAGGTGAAAATTCAGTGCTTTAAAAAAATTAAGGCATGTTTTGTGTGCAGTGTGATGCTGTGATGAACTAATACAGGTTCTCTGATTTTATGACACCTTCCTCTCTGTCTTAAATTTTTTATTCAGTTCCCATCCGATTCTGTCACTGTGCTCCCAGTCCTAGTAAGTGGAGCGTTTGAGTGTTAATAGATGTGCTTACAGATATCCTAGGCTTTTTCTGCTGAGAATAGGAATGGTGGGTTCACCAGTAGCTTGACAGAAATAGGTATGTTGGCAGAAATACTAAGTTTCAAGTAGCTGTAGTGTCTGGGGGGAAAAAGTCTAAGTGCAGTCTGTAGTGAAGAGGATGGGGGAAGGTGTCACTGTCGTTTTGGGCTTTCAATGACAGTTTGGTGTTCCCTGTATTTCCCTTTACTGGTAACCTTTGGGGCAACTGATTGGGCTACCTAAAGAACTGCTCACCTCCCACTGCTCCAGGAGCATGAGGGGGTTTGCTGTCCTGCAATATTCTGAAGCTCAGGAAGAAGGCAGGCCTCAGAGCACACCAGGACACAGCAATAGTGGTGTCACCTACCTGTCTCCTTGTCCACTTGTCAGTGTCTGTGTGTGCTCACTGTTGGCAGTAGCAACAGCCAAGTTACGTTTTCAAAATGCAGTTGAAAGTGAACATGTTAGCCACGGCAATGTTTGACGCAGATGCAGGGTCTGACTTCCTGCTGCTTTTGAAAATAACAACTGGTTAATCACTGGTTAATCACTAGGGTCAGATTGCCTAAAGGTTTTTAGTAGACCTTGAGCCTTTTGTCCTTGCCAAACTAAAATTCTGGTTTTATATCTTTTCTGTCTAGGATCTCAATACTTGTGAAACAGAAGGTGTAAAGCTTAAGTTGTTGCCCATGGAGAACAGCTTTAGTGCTTCTGCATTCCTACTCAGAGGGATGTTTTTTCTCCTTGTGTTTTGTGTACTTGCTGGGATAGGATGGTTCAGTATAGTTCATAGAGTTGCTGTTTTACTTTGACAGAGAAATTTGATAAAGTGCAGAAAATAATTGGGGTATTTTAATATATGCCTGCAGCACTGGCTCTTGTAAACCAGAAAGGGTTCTCTAACATTGACACAAAGTTACGGATGTTTGTCTGAAGCAGTGCTGGATAGTCACATATGTACTGGTGCAAAGTTATTTGCAGTTGTGCAAAGCATTGTCTTGGCAAGAGACAGCGTTGTCTCAACAAGAAGCATAGCTCCTGCATGAAGGTATGACAAGTAAAAAACTTTGTGGAAACACTTATTTTTCAGTGTGTTCTTTTTAATCGGCTGAGAATCTCTTTAGAGCCAAACTTTTCTAATCAACAGTTTAAATCTAGTAAAAGCCTCTGGGGGGAGGGGGTGGTGGTGGAATATTTATTTATTTGTTTTCCACTGAGTTTGAACCGTTTGTGAAAACAAGATTAAAGGGACATTCTGCCTCATAGAGCCCTCTAGTGGTGATGTGCTTAATAAACATGGGAGGGTTTGGACTGGCTTTTTTAGTGTGGTTGCCACTGAAAACAGGAAAGAGGTTTTGGCTTGGTTTGGGATTTAATGTTTTTAATGCAGACGGTAAGTTTCTCTACTCTCATCACTTGTGGATTGAAATATACTTTACACATAACCAAAAGCAACTTGCTGAACCCTGTAGTAAGTTTTGCATTGCCCCATGTCTACACAGATACAAATTGAGGAATGACTTAAATAGAAATTGTGTTTTGTTGCTACTGATCTGGGACAAGTGGGAAGGAAAAGCATCACTTGAGGTTATAAACTGTCCCTCTGACACTAGTAATGCTGTCTGTTATTGGAGGATAAAAACAGCCTGAGGTTTTGGATTTTATTTTTCTTTTCTTATGCCAGTATAAAAAAGCAATGTGGTAAGCCATATTTTGTCTCTCTTAGAAGCTTTGGTTCTAACTTTGTGGTCTATTTATATACTTTAATATTTAACTCCTTGCTTTATCTTTTTGGCTTGTTACATGAACTGCAGTGTTCTAGAAAAAAATTACTATTAGGTTAATGATAAGTAATGCCTGCCTTTAATTTTGACGTTTTTGCTCTCAGTTCTTGTTGCTGTAAGATTAGCCAAATTTAAGAAAAGAGGAGGTGGAGACAATGTGATGGTACATAGGATGGACTGCACATCTTAGAAGCTTGTGTTTTAACCAACAAGTATGTCTAAAATCTGTATGGTCTCGTTAACTGCTCCTCTAAGTCTGGAATCTTGTCTGAACAAAAATAGTAATGCTTTATGTTAATAAGACATTCAGCATTGCAAGCTCTGGCTTCTGTGGAAGCTGCAAGATCTGAGATGCTTTTGAAAATCTTGCCAAAGTTTCAGGGGAGGAAAGCAAAGATATCAAATTATCACTATCCTTTTATCTTTTGAGGCACTAGGGAAGTGGCTTCATTGCCAAACAGATCATGTTTCCTTTCAGAACCCTCCCGCCCTGTTTCTGCCTAAT